GTTATTGATGTTATTATTATCATTATCATTATTATATAATATATATTCATTATTCATTATTGTTTTATTATCAATATTTTCATTATCACTGTTTCCATTATCACTATTGTTTATTCTTGCTATCAATTGAATTGTTACAGATATAGTTTTTTGTTGCTTTTTTATCATCCTCATCATTCTTATGCTCACTGCTGTTACTAATATCAATGGTGTTGTTTCTGTTATCATTATTATTATTATTATCATCATTGTTGTTGTTGATATAATCATTACTATAGTTATTATTATTGTTTTACTATTATCATTATCATTATTATTACGTATTGTTGTTGTCATTATCACTATATTTGTTATCATTTTTATTGTTATTAGTATTATCATTGTTGTTTTTGTTGTTGCTATTATCATTATCATTATTATGATAATAATGATTAGTAGTATTAGTAGTAGTTTTATCATCACTAGTAGTAGTATTAGTAGGAGTATCATTGTTATTATTATTATTATTATTATTATTATTATTATTATTATTATTATCATTATTATCATTATTATTATCATCCTTATCATTCTTATTATTACTATTATTATTATCATTATTACTATTATTATTATTATCATATCATTACTATTGTTATCATTATTATTATTATTATTATTATTATTATTATTATTATTATTATTATTATTATTATTATTATTATTATTATATTATTATTATCATTATTATTATCATCATTATTGTTATTATCATTATCATCAACATCATTGTCATTGTCATCATAATCATCATCATTACGTTTAGACTAGTAGCAGCATTAGTGGTAGTACTGACATGTGCATACGTGCATGTGAATATATATATATATATATATATATATATATATATATATATATATATATATATATATATATATATATATATATATATACATATATAGATAGATAGATAGATAGATAGATAGATAGATAGATAGATAGATAGATAGATATAGATATAGATATAGATATATATATATATATATATATATATATATATATATATATATATATATATATATATATATATATATATATATATATATATTGCGTGTGTGTGTTTCTTTTTATGTGTATTTTTGTATGTCTGTGTTTGCTTCCATGTTTGTATGTTGCATGCATTTTGTTCTATATGTGTGATATGTTGTGTTATGAGTACGAGTGCGTGTGAGTGTTCTCCTGCCATGTATCTCTGACCTCCTAGGCCATTTGGCTGACACACAAGGTGTTATGCAACCGAAACGAAACGCAAAAGCTGTGGCTTCTTTCGCCAGACTTGTAGAATGGGGGGGGGGGAGGAGGTGGGGAGGAGAGGGATAGAGGGGAGGAGGAGGAGGAAGAGGAGGAGGAGGGAGTACAAGCTGGGAGCGAAAAGGTCACTGAGTTATGAGTTGGCTTGGACCACAGAAAATTAGTGTACAAGTCCAAGCAAAGACGCAAACGAAAAAAACTATTAAATACTTACCCACGTGTAAAAAAAAATACTTTTTAAAGGTATCTGAATGATATTGAATAAAGGCTAAAATGAATATATACTTATTCTCATAATAAAGACCATCACACACACACGCACACACACGAACGCACACACTCACACACAAGAACTCAACCTCGTGCAGGTCACGTGCAAAGGGGATTTAGGCAGGTTTCATTTCATCATGATTATGCTTTAGGCATGTCATACTAGCGTACAATATGTCTCGAATAAACTGAAATAAAATGTAATATCGTTTTCCGTCTGTCCTTTGATGAAGCGTGGTGATAAGGAGGATAGCAATGATAGTGATACTGATGGTAACAATAATGATAATAAAGGTAACGATGATAATAACAGTGATCATGATAGCAATGGTAGCACTACAGCTACTACTATTATCAATTATGGTAATGATAATGAATATAGTAATGATGATAACAGAAGCACTGGTAATAGTAATGACCGAAGTAATTTTAATGGTAGTAATGATAAGGCTAATGATAATCATAAAAATAATAATGAATGTTGCTCGTTCCAGTGCTTCTGCACGGTCGCTCAGCGCCGCTCTCTCCTGCTCGCCCGCACCCATTGAGAGAGCCGGAGCCGCAACGCAAAAACACTTCTCCCAATTTACTTTTCTCTGAAGTGGACGAAAGAGGAACAAAAAGAAATCAAAAGAAAAAAAATAGAAAAAAAAACTTGCTTACATTCCTTTCGCATTTTCAGGTGTTGCAAACTTGCTTTTAGTGTTCATGTTACTTAGGTTTCTGTGTTTGTTTCTCGGGGCAGCAATGCACACTCTTGTTTGACACTGAACACATGGAAATAGTAGTTTATATCTTCCACTATCTCTCTATCTCTTGTTTTCCTCTCTCACATTCCTTTCCGCCTTATCATGAAACATAATCACACGAATAAAAGAAAACCAGAATAACCGAACACAGAAATGAAATAGAACTGAAACAAAACACAACAAATCCTCAC